CCCCAAAACCCCAAAACCCCAAAACCCCAAAACCCCTTATGGGAATATACGGATTGAGAAATATTAAAGTTAATAATGAAGTTTCGAAGTTTAGTATTTTTCGATAACCACAGGGATCCCAGAAACGCTGATTCTTTCTTGTGATTCAGCTGTCTGACAATCAGTTCTGCTCATACCGTAACTGCTAGGAGCTAGGAGAGGTAATTTCTCCATATCATTGGTTTTCTATATCAGCGTTATAACGACAAGGATGAATATTTGCAAGAAACGAGCGAAATTTACAGCTAACTCGTAAATCTACTAAAGTAAACAACATACTCTACTAAAATTCAGTGACTAAAATTAAATAGATACTCAGTATCAATGTAAGCGCTCCATAATCAGTACTCCAAAAAATCCCAAAATTCCAACCCCATTACTAAAATTCTCGCTTACTTCTCAATGAAACTGTTCTCCCTTCCCATTCTTTTCCTCTTCACATTCCCCAATCTGTTTCTGGCCTAAATCACACTATAAAACTCCCTTCAAAACCATTAATCTTCCCCATTCTGCCCCTCACCCATCTACCATCCTCCTAAATTTCCCAACCAAAAATAATATTTTCAGAAATGTTCAGGCTATGAATAAAAACTCTTAGCATAAATGTTAAAACTGTAAATGTGTAATTTTGACAGTTAAATTTTGGGATTTTGACTGGAGAAGAAATTTTGAGAAGAATGAAACTTTTGAAAGGGAGATAGAGGATTTGTGATCCTCGGGTTTATAGTGGTAGGGGGTTTGGTGAGGGATTTAGGGAGAATAGTTTGAAATATGATAGTTTTGGGAGAAGGAGGGAGGAGTTCTTGGTACGTTCAAGATTTTTAGGTGAGGGTGATAGGAAATATCAGGGAAGTATGTCTTCTAAGCTGTCATTGATGAGTAAATATGTTTGGTTTATTGGTCTAGAGATTGATATAGCTCTGTAGAGGGTGTACTAGGCGATATAATTTAACATTTCTGCTTCTCCAATCGGAAGGAAGAATTTATTCATAAGTTTCGATACTCAAATTTTTTGAGTGAGAGGGGTTCCGAGATAAAGGAACAGGTTTGGTAGATGTATCTAAATACCTTAATTTTTAATTTGTTCATTATAGCATCGAAGTTTCCTCCTCTTTCCAATGAGCATTAAATCTTCCATTAATCAAAAATTCCAAATTTTTTGCAAAATATGCATATCCCACCCAAATTTATTCACAATTCATCATATTTTACCCACCCGCCCTCAAAAATTATCTTTAAAACCATCTTCTAAAATATCTCCACTCAAATTCCAACAAATTTCTAATCCGACTATCATTTCCTCAAAACCCCAATTTCCCTTAGCCCAAAAACTTTGCTTTAAAACCACCTTTTCCACTACTTCTCCAAAATACCCTAAAATCCACTCAATGAGTAGCTTCCATTTGTGAGTAATTCATAAGTAAGAGTCAAGGCTAAGATTTTGGGGATTTTTGATAGGGGTTCTGGTGGGTCAGAGTGGAAAATTGGGACTTTGACTGGCCAAGGAGGATAGGGGAGGGAAGAAGGAGTTTGAGGGATTAGGGATAGGAGGGATGGGTTGAGATTAGGATAAGTGAAAGATATTACAATTATCTGGAGGTATTATAAACAGTCATCTTCATGAGACTCGTGAGGTTGGGATATCTCAGCTACCATAAAATCTTCAATTCCAGATTTTTCTAAATCAACTTAAATTTTCATGTTCATTCCAACTCCCTTCAAACTTTAATCCCCAAAACTCTCACAAAAAGATCCTGTCCCTTCTCACCAAAGAACGAGTGGACTTACTGTCTTGGAGACCTCCTTTCTGGAAGTCATAGGGGTACCAGACTTTGGCTCTATTCCTTTGTCTTCTCATCGGTTTGTCAGCACAAATGCCGCTTTTCCCAGTGGTCGGGTCTGGAGACCCTGGAATTTCGGAGAAGTGAGCTGGGGCTTGGTCTTGGCCTATGAAAGTTTAGAAGGATTTTGAGAGGAATTGGGGTTTAATGGGTTTTGAGGTGCCCGAGAGAGAAGAGAGGAGTGAGCAGCGGGATTTTAGAGGTGATATGAACTTGAAGTGAGTTTTTGTTGGTATTATATGGTGACTAGAGTGAGTTTTAGAAGGATAACTGAGTTTTATGGGGTTGAATAGCTTGGATATGGCTAAAGAGGGTATAGAAATGCTAACTAACTTTTTAACTCTATCATTATCGTAGATAAACTATGAACTCTTAGCATAATTCCAGTACATCACTGTATTTTCCCATAATAATAGGAAATAGAAGTTGGGACTTTAGTGCAGATATTTTCAACTGACAAAATTCCGCCATAATGTGCTATTATTGTGTGAACATATTGTCACAAGTATTTCACTTGAAATCAGAGTTCAGGAGACTTACTGTTGTCGTTCATTTTTATTGATGTATTTTGAGTTTATAAATTATCAATCTTATGTTTTTATAGGGGTTTTGGGGTTTTGGGGTTTTGGGGTTTTGGGG